GGATGTGTAGTAAAGCACCCCTGGGTTCAATCTCTATTACCACCAAAATGGTGGTGGCAAGAGTAGAAAAAGTACTCACAGTTAGACCTGGTTCTTTCTCACATTATTTTGGACTCTCACTCCTGAGACTTGCAGCCTCGAATGATCAACTTGGCCTACAAACAGATCTATCACCACAGTCTCTTATAAACACTTATGATTCTGTTTACTGTTGTTACCTGAGACTGTCATCATCTGGATAGTTACACCACTGTTAATGAGGTCCCTGAGTCCTTGCCGGTTTTGCTGGTCCATGTGCTGAAAAAGCCGTGCTGTATAAATAACCAGAGTCATATTAGGATGTTGACTCAAAAATTCTCTGATAGCCTTGGAACATTCCCAACAAGGACTCCAGGACAAGAACCAGGTGATGGAACAGCTGATGGATGGGCAAAAATGTCTTTCCGCAGTAAATTTTTCTATAAAATTCACTTCAACATGATTGGTGGTGTTTTTGCTGGAGTTTCTCCAGATCTTTCGGCTCGTGCCCCACTGGATTTCATAGAGCAGACAGGTCTCTTTGCGAAGTACTCCAGGGTTAAAGAAGACTTCAAATTCCCAGGGTTCAATTCTCCTCCTGAAATATAAAAAGTGGCCCTGGATTGCTTTTTCTAGGTCCCATGAAATCCTAGAAATCATTTCATGCTTCCCTCTTCTATTAAGCAGATCTGAACCATGACATCTCTGAAAGTTTTCTATTCCAGGTTTCAGAGTTATCTGTAGAAGTTCATTTGCATTATCAGAGTTTCTCTCACAAACATAGTAAAAGGATTTCTTTTATTCCTAGTCTTAGTATTCGATGACTACTCTCTAATACTATTGTTTTATTTTATTTTATTTTGTTTAGATATACATGAAAGTAAAGTGAATTTTGACATATTATACATACACAGAGTATAATTTATTCTAATTAGGATCCCATTCTGTGGTTGTACATAATGTGGAATTTCATGGGTAGTGCATTCATAATGAACATAGGAAAGTTATATCTGATTCATTCTACTGCCTTTCAATACCATTGTTTTAGTCTTGAATTTAGGCATAAGTGTATTCTGGTTTTTCTTTTGAAGATGTTTTTACTATATAGTAATCTCTATTTTTCCTTTTTTTTTTCTTTTTCTTTTTCCTTTCTTTTTTTATTCTCCTGCCTCAGCCTTTTGAGTAGCTGGGCTTATAGGTGTGCTCCACTAGGTCCAGTTTATATGCTAATCTTTCTACTTCACACTTAGAGGTGTCCTGTCTCAGTACTTATCTTCACTGTTTCTCTGTGGACTCTAACCAGATTTTGGCAAGTGTTGAAGCCTGGAAGAATCTTCTTGCCAACAAATTCTGCAGTGAAGTCTGAGAAAAAGAGCAGTTTAGCCTCAAGAGTCTTCCACTTTAGAATTCTGTATGCCAATTCATTGTAAGAAAGAAACAAAAAATGCTCTAAATGATCTTTAGATTTTAACACTCTCCGTGTCTGAAAGCTGTTACTCAGGAAAAATTCAGGATTGTGCTGAGGGCTCCTCTATGCAACGATTAAGTTACAGGCTTATTACATCCTCATTGTTCCCACTCATCCCTGAAATGCCATATTGAGTTATTTCATAGATCAGCCCTTCCCTTTCAACCATCGTGAGATGGTATATCCTTGATGATTCCCTGTAGAAGTCTGGAAAATGATCAAATAGAAAGATGAAATCAAAGTAACAAACAGTTCCCCCAACATTGCACTGAGGGCTATAAAAACATACGATTTAATGAGAAAAGTTGAATAGTAAGACAACAGAGAAGCAAGCTGGAAAGTAATTTCTTTGAATGAAACCAAAGGACATAGGAACAAAGATATAAAAAGAAAAAGCAATACTCAAAGAAAATTACGTTGGAAAAGTCACAAAGAAAGGAAGAATTGGAACATGGTAAAAGAAGAATGTAAAAATGTAAAGAATAAAATGATGTAATTTGCTGATAAATGAATGGAACTGGAGAACATCATATTAAGTGAAATAAGCCAGACTCAGAAAGGATCAAATGTTTTCTCTCATATGGGAGAAAAGGGCAGGGATGGATTAAAAAAAAAAAAAAAGAGGGATCTCACAAAAATAGAAGGGAGGCCAATAGAGTAGAAGAAGGGAATTGAAAGACAGGGAGGAGAGGAGGGCATGGGAAAGTACTACGGAAAGAAATCTACCAAATTTGCTATGTCTATGTATGAATGTATCACAATGAATTCTATTTGTATATATAATAATAATGCACTAATTGAAATAATAATAGTGATAATAGAAGGGAGTTCAGTAGAAAAAAACAAATAGATCAGGAGAAGAGAATTGAGGAGGGAAAGGGAAGGTACTAGGGAATGAGACTGATCAAATTATATTATGTGCATGTACAAATATGGCATAAGGTGTCCCACTATCGTGTATAATAATAATGTGCCAATAAAATTTTTAAAAGAAGAAAGGAAAAATTAAAAATCTGTAGTTCTGCAAATATTGAATTGTGATTTATTCTTGATTGAATTGAATTGCACTGTGAGTGCAATATTATTCTTACCTCAGAGTAGCATCACCAGTTGAAGGACCTGTTGATCAAGAGATGATTATATCAAATAACACTCAAATATAAATTGAGCTATTAAGAAAAAGTGCTCTATTCTTCTAAACCTGCAAATGATACCTGTAAATGAATTTAGAAGATTCTTTTGTGATTCATTGCACTGAACTAGTTCATTACACCAAAGAAAAGCAAGATTTTTAAGGGCTCTGCTAAAATCTACTTGACAGATGACCAACTCAAACCAGA